TGTTGCAGTGGCTGGTGATAACTTGAGAGTCTTTAACCCTTCATTTCACTACCAGGGAGGCTGATTTTTTTTTCAACTTTAGTTCCTTTGTTTTAAATTATAAATAAATAAATAATGAGTATATTACTTTTGTGTCAAATCATTGCTAATTTTTGGACAAAATATAATTCTTACCCTCAGGTCACTGCAGTTGTCTCACTGCCAAACACACTTAGTCCATCACCAGGTTTTCTTGTGTTGTTCTCCCATGTCCATCCAACCCCTACTTCATCTCTCCTGGCAACCTCATACCTATGGTCAACTTTCAAGATTTGTCATTGTCTGACTCTTCTTTTTTACTATATCCCACATATAAGTGATTCAATCCAATATTTATATTTCTCCTTTTTACTTAGCAACAACCCATGCAGCTTCACCCATGCTGCCACAAATGGCATACATTTAAATTCTTGATTGTTGGCTAGTATTCCATTGAGAACACAGAATCTTTGATTTCTTATTTTCTGTAGCATGTTTTTAAGTAACATTGGTTTAAAACACTATATATGATTCAGAGTAATAAGCTCACACTGCTTCAGATGTCTTAGCAGTCCAGTCCACCACCAGGGCACTGATACACCTCTATGGGGCCACCTTCCTTATTAGCTCCCTCCCTATCACTCTGGTAAACTCAATTATAAAGTCAAATTTCTATGGATTGTGTTGGTTTATTTTTGCAAATAGTCAAAATTTAACTTTGAACAGGAGCTTCAGGGATGACAGAATGCAACTATACTCATCAATTTGAAATTAACTAATTTAACAATTATTACTAAATAATAATTTGGGGTAGCAAAAGGAAAGCTGGAAAGATAATTTGTACTGGCTTAAGAGTACCATTATAAATGTAAAATTCAAAATATAAGCACAGCTACATCATGGACTTCTGTGGTGGACTATGTGTGATTTGGTAGTGAGTGCGTTACAATGACTATATCTGAAGGATGATCTTATATTACCAACAATAATATAGAACAATGTCACCTCCACGTTGAAAAATAAATATAAAGAAAGTGTAAATATATTTTGAAATAAAAGCATGATTATATAAATTGAAAGGGAAGACAGATTAAAAAGAAAAGAAAGTAGGGCCCTTCTTGGTGCCACAACGGGTTGGGACATAGGACTGCAACTACTCGCATCTGCTTCATTGTGAGATCCCTGGCCCTCGAGGTGACCCACGTGGCACAGCAGACCTCTCCTGTCTCGCCCACTGCTCCCTTCAGCAGTGTACTTTGTCGATATGCCTACTCTGCCCTGCTCTCTGTCTCTGGTGAATCCTCTCACCGCTGCTGCACCTCTGGCCTGTACCCCAGTTCTGTATTCTTAAATAATGCATAAATAAATAAATCTTAAAAAAAGAAAAGAAACTCCTAGACACCACTAAAACTTTCAATTTAAAATATTAAAGAAAGGGGAAAATATCTGCATGTATAAAGAAAGGCTGAAATATTAGATAAAAGATCTTGGAGTTCTACATTATACAAATCTCAGAAAACAATACTTTAAAGAGAACAATGGGAAAGACAATGAAAAAAATCAGTTTATACTTAGTTAAGTTACATTTTCATTGTTTGTAAATAAATAAAATGAACGATCATTTTAAAAATAGTACATAGCGGGGGGGGGGGGTGGGGGGCCCTCCTTTGTGGTGCAGCGGGTTAAAGCACAGCACTAAGAAGCTTAAGCCACTTCTGCATGAGTTGATTCCGCCCTGCCCCAGAGGAGATCCACATGGCAAGGCAGACCTCTCCTCTCTCCTGACCCGCCCTCGGGAGTGTACTTCGTCGATCTGCCTGTTCTGCTCCCCACTCTGTCTCTGGTGAATCCTCTCATCCTCCACATCTCTGGCCTGTACCCCAGTTCTATATGAATAAATAAATCTTAAAAAAAAAATAGCACATAGCGGGCCCTCCCTGGTAGTACAATGGATTAAAGTGCAGCACTACAATGCTAGCCACAGCCACTGAAGCACAAGTTCAAACCCCAACCAGGGAAGTGACCCACATGGCACAGCAGACTGCTTCTGTCTTGCCCGATACTCCCCTCAGCAGTGTGCTTCGTCAATCTGCCTGTTCTTCTCCCCACTTTATCCCTGGTGACTCTTCACATGACCATCTGCATCTCTGGCCTATACCCTATTTCTCTATACATAAATAAATAAATATTTAAAAAAAATAGCACATAGCTACTATTCTTGAACATTATGCTTACCTATATACCTGAACTGAGATAAGAATCAGATGGTGCTAAAAATAATATTAAGCATAATATAAACTATCTACCATATGAGCTTTGTAATTGAGTTAAATCTAAATAATTATTGAATATTGCATTTTTACTGTAAATGAAAAGAAACAAAGTTTTCACAAAATAATACTTAACCCTTATTTGTCCCTACAATGCATTCTGATATTTTCTATTTTGTTATCTTTCATATTTGCTAGTGTTTATCACACACTATTAAATTGATTTTAAACCAAAATTTGAAAAATAGCATGGGTGTACATTATTCCACATTTTAATACATCTAGCAAACTTTATTAAATAACAGAACGTAATATGAAACAATAACAAATTTTATAATTTTACTGTGTTTTTGAAACAAGTTCCGGAAAAGTCATCATAATCATCTGACTCAGTCTTTGATGGTTGATTGATCAAGAAGAATGGTTGATTTCTCTAAGAAGAAAATACAAGGACAAACTTTGTGAAGTCATACTTCATTTTTTTTATAAGAAAAATCCTCATGTCCTGAAAATGTTTTTGAGCCACCTTGTTAAAATCGCATGCTTCATTAAAATCATCACTACAGTCATATCATAACCCTAGTACCCT